TTAATCCCACAATGGGGAAATTCAAGGTTACAGATATAAAGATTATCATGATCCTTATTATGAATTATTCCTATATTTATCATATATCATGTATACTTTATAAGATATTTAAGCCTTATTTAAGAACTAAAACACATATGACATATGATACCGATAGGTGGCAGACACGCACCTTACAGACGTAACGCGTCTCTAAGACAACAAAAGAAAAACCTCCTCTACGTCATTGGCCAGGGTGTCTGACAGCCAAGATGGCTGCCATGATGTTGAGGTCGCTTACCAAACTAGGACGTCCTTCAACAAAATTAATATTAAATAACAATGTGCTGAGCCCCAGCTGTACTGTGCTGCAGAGCCGGTAAGTTAACAAAAATACTAAACCTGACGCTTCGTGTGACCATTGTATTTCCAGCCGTATTAGCTTGAGCTCCACATAAATATGCACACTGCAGAGCTAATGCTAGCCTAATGCTGTATAAGCCGACTTGGTCCCTTCAGTATAATTCGAGTCGTCTGCTACAATTTAGACTTTGTTTCTGAATGGGGAACGCCTTTACAAAGCACACATATACCTGTTAACGCTACAGCAGTGTCATCCTTTAAGCTGCCCTATGTTAGGTCACAGGGTAGATTAGCTGTAACTGTTAGCGGTGTGATTAGCCAGCGTGTGTCAGTGTTTACCACACTGCTTCTGGGAATATGTTCGGCTCTGTGTAAAGTCAACGTATTTTCCATATATATATATATATATAGTAAACAAAACTGATCCGTTTCTGGTTGAAAGGATTTAACTACTAACCAAAGTTTAGTTAACCATTGTGGAAGAGTAAACATTGTATTTTTGCTACTATTCTAGATAAATTAAAGAAAATAGAACATAGTTAAAGAAAGAAACTATTGGCAGTCATTAAAATCCACGTACAGGTCTGTTAAATAGTCTTCGCCCCTTCCTGTGCTGATTATGCAGCTCCAAAGTCAAGGAGACATGAACCTATAGGTTTGTTATTGACGTGTTCTGATACAGAGGAGCTCTATGCGACTTAACCCGTTTTATGCTGCCATGTACTGCGATGTTGCAATGGTTGGCATTAATAAAAATATAAACATGTTTACTTATCCTAGTATAACTTCCAGATCTGATTATCAGTTGTCAGTTTGGCACAGTGTGGCCCAGATTGTCACCCTCTGCCAATGACAGCCTAAACTAAAGATTAAAGCCTCTTGGGCAACATGCCTGAGAGGTGGCACCTACCTAACCTTAGCTTTGCATTCCATTGCATTTCAGTGGTCTGCATGTAGAACGACCCATTTCACAATAATATATATTATATTATTAGATTATAATTATTGATGCATTAATGTGTTCATCACTCTAATGTTGCAGCTGGTAAAGGTGGAGCTAATTTTATTTACTTCATATATTGGTGGTAAATTCTCCCACCAGTTTTATCTTAATCTACAATATTACATTGTCATTTATTTGTTTTGTAATATTAATCTGAAGCCTTCGAATAAATATAGTGAAGTAAAAAAATAAATACAGTATTTGCCTCTGAATTGTAGTACAGTACGTGAGTAAATGTACTTAGTTACTTTCCACCAGTGCCAATCACCCTTATTGACACCAGACTGACTAAAACTCTCTCTGCTCACAGAACGAGGTGCCAGAAGGGATCCGATCGTCCTCCCACAACAAGGTGAGTCCCCAAACACACTGACAACGTGGACTCTCTTTGAGCTCTGTGTTCATATTTTAAAAACCATAGTAATGAGAATTAAAATAAATCCTATTTTTAGCCCAAACTTTCCAAAGGTTTAAAGCATGAGCTGGGACACGGTTTGGAATTCTTTGATTTGTAACAAATAGCTATTTTGGTGGAAATGGTGGGGTTGCTGTCCAAACTTTGGGGATTTATAAAAGGAGGGAACACATTTTGGGGGATTATACAAAAAATGGATAAAGAAAGTTTATGGGAGATATTTTTAATAAAATACATCCGAGCAAAGAACAAATTGTGGAATTTAAAGGCATTGTAGTAAAGGTATTATATCGGATGCTATAATAATTGCTATAGAAAAGGGTTTGGGGGTCCTTTAACACATTTTTGGGATTATGAAAAAGCAGTGCCTCAAATTTGAAGGCAAAAACAAATTTGGGGATTATAACTGTAACAATTCCTGAGAGTTGTTTGTCAGAACTGATTTAGAGGTGAAAACTTAATGTTAAATGTTCAATGCGAGGACATATGCAGCAAATTTTTGGTTTGTAAAAAGGTTTGCAATCATTTAATCACCACATTAATACATCACATTATCAGCGTATCCATATTCTACCACAGTGTGTTCACGCTTTCTTTTATTAGTGCAGCTTCAGTTTGATTTTACTCAAATTGCAGTTAACAAGAGTAAATTCTGATTTTACTCAACTGCAGTAATATAGCACATATACAGGGTTTGACTTACATTGTGGCTGTCAGTTAGGGGAGCCCTATTTTATTAGGGGGTGGGTGGTGAGAGTTTAGGGTACACAGAGATGAGCATAATGAGCCTGCATACATGCAAAAATATACTATCAGTACATTTCAGTTCAAACAGAGAACATTTAGTCTGGGACAACAAAGGAACAGAAACATTATTCACTGTAGCAAGTTATTTTAATAGCCTAATAAGAAAGTACATTGAGTACGCCTACATGCATGGTCGGCCACAGCAGGATTATACAGCTTTGTTGTTGATGTGTGTGTGTGTGTGTGTTCAGTATTCAGCAGAAGCAAACGAACAGGTTGATTGTGAGCAGGCGAAGCATCTCGGGGCTGTGGATGTTTCTTTAAGGTGAGTCCCGTCCGTGTAGTTGATAAAAGCTCACTGTGCAAACAATAAGCGCAATACACACATCAACACTAGAAATACAGGGTCAGATACAGTGTACTGCGTCATCTTACACTTTTAACCTCCTTCGTGACCTCTGACCTCTGTGACGTGCACAGAGAGGATGACAGACTTGCTCTGCTTTCACTTCTAGCGAGGAGACCAGAGAGGCTCTGCTCAACTGGAGCAAACACGACGACGAGGCCGAACGCTTCTGCCTGGTTGACGGTACTATTCGAGCAAATGTGTTATTTTTATGTGTTCCCAGAAGGTTTTAAATTTGGGGAACGTGACGGTAAAACTACACCATGTTTTAATGAACGTAATGGAAAGACTTGAAAATATAAATGGGGAGAATGGATCATTTTGTGGGGGGATGTGATTGTAAAAAGGTGGAATTTTTTAGGGAACATGTTAATAATTTTTTTTGAAAAGAATCAAAAATGAAACATAAAAATATATTGACATTAATAACATAAAGAAATATATATATTTAAACTTTAAGCTTTGGGCTACTTGTTTGTATGAAAGGAGCAATACAAATAAAGCTGAGTTTGTTTTAAGGGAACAAGATGATAAAATACATGTTTTTGGAAATATAAATGGAAATAATACATTAACTTTTAGGGAATGTTAAGATAAAATGCAGCTTATTTAAAGGAAAACAATGTTAGGAATTTATCATTTTTAGACATAACAGAGGGTAAAACATGGGAACACATGTAAGGAATGAAAATATATATATCTAACAACAAAGAAAGTATGATTTTTAGGAAATAAATGGTCCATTACTACCTAACCTTGGTGGATTATTGTAACCCCACACAGGTGTCTGCTGGTGTGTAGATATTCTGAATAAAGCGGACTCTCCCACCCTGCTGCCTTTATAGCTGACAGAAAGATGTTCTTATAGTGACTTACAGCTGACTAAAGGCTTTCTGTTTCCCAGACGAGGGGTCACCAGACTCCCAGTATGTCGACCTGCTGCTGAACCCGGAGCGCTTCACGGGATACAGAGGACCGGAAGCCTGGCAGATCTGGAACAGCATCTATGAGGAGAACTGCTTCAAGTAAAAACTCACAATCTAAAACACCTCCTTTGGATTTGGACTCACACAAGGAACTTTCACCATAAAACACAGTTGAAACATGAGTCTACAGTCATGCTAGTGGCTCTGTAAGGCAAATTGTGGAGCTAGAGGACAAATCAGGAGATCACTAAAGTTCTCACAATTCATCTGAGGGGAACATAAATGTCTGAAAGCAATCGATCCAGTATTTATTGAGACATTTCACTACCTAGAACCTAAAATGTTTATCTGCTGGTGGCCCTAAAGAAATGTTTGTGGATCACCAAAGTCACCAGGATTTATCCTCTGAGAACCATTAATGTCTGCACAATATTTAATGGCAGTCCGTCCGATATTTGTCAAGATATTTATGCCTCAGATAAAAGTGTCGTGTGTAAGTCTCTCCAGAGCTACTGCTGTTACTGGGGATGGTCCAACACAATTACCTGCTTCTCATGGCCGATACCGATAAGATAACCAATCATTTAATTTAATAATTTGTAGTTTATGCACACCAGAGGGTTAGAAAGGCTAATATGTATGTAAGATTATTTAATAATCCATAGCTCTAACTGTTTCTAACCAACATCTGACTGAACCCACATCACCCAGCTCGTCTAAGACCGCACAAGAAACAACAAAAAAAAATGTTTCAGCAGAACATAAATTCTATCAACATTTTGCATAGAATTTCATTATTGACAGATAATTTATCAGCTGTAATACATTATAATATGTTTTATCAGCACTGATGTATAACGTTCATCCTTCAGTTTACTGCTTATCTTTATCTCCAATCTGAGAAATGTTGGAAACTGATAAATGAAGCAGAAGTGTGTGTTTTTACTCTAAAACTAAAACCCTCTTTACTGCTCCCTCACAGGCCGTATACAGTCAGGCGTCCACTTATTCCCAACTCATTCCACAGCAGCTCAGGAAGTGAAGGTAAGAGGTCTTTACTGTTACACCGCACCATGATTCACTTCATTTGGACTATCAACAACATTTGCTTCATTTATTACAGCAAAGACCTTCTACAGCTGGCTGGAAGGTAAGCGGATGTTTCACCTAAAGATGATTGATCCAGAGGACCGCTGTGTTGTCTTTGTCCAGTATTTTATCAACTCTCTCTGTTTGTGTCTGTCTCAGGTCAGTGTGTGGAGAAGAGGGCTTTCTACCGGCTCATCTCTGGCCTCCATTCCAGCATCAACATCCACCTGAGCGCCAGATACCTCTTGGATGGTGAGACACACTATATTTCCCCCCAAATTAAAATGTCCTGTCTCGATGCAGCGACCGTCCTCTGTTGTTGTTTACTCCTCTCTCTTCCTACCTTCAGACAGCTGGTTTCAGAAGAAGTGGGGTCACAACGTGTCTGAGTTCAGGCAGCGGTTTGATTCGGAGCTGACGGCCGGCGAGGGGCCCAAGAGGCTCCGCAACCTCTACTTCCTGTACCTGATTGAGCTGCGAGCGCTGGCCAAAGTTCTGCCGTTCTTCCAGCAGACGTCCTTCCGGCTGTACACCGGCAGACCCGAGGAGGACCAGAAGCACAAAGAGCTGCTGCTGCACATTCTGCAGCTGGCCAGGTCGGTCTGAGTCAGTGCTCTCCATCCAGTGTTCATTACTACTGGGCTGTTTTCCTGTAAATGTACCATCAGTTTATATAATTTTATATATGTAAAGCATTTATTTTTATATTTTGCTATTATATATATATATATATTTCTAAACTTTTTTCACTCATAAAAGACAAACTAAAATAATTTCTGAACATTTTCTTTTCTTTCTTACTTCTCACTGGTGTAGTTTCTTGTGCTGTTGTCATATTTATTGTACAACTGGCTAGCTAATTAGTTGTGACTCTCCCTCCTTCCTTTCTCCAGATCGTTCCCGCTGCACTTCAATGAGACATCTCTGTTTGCCGGCGATGAAAAGGAAGCAGCCAAACTGAAGGTTGGCGACCATTTAAAACCCACTTACTAAGTTTTGTTTATGATCCTTTCAGAAAAAATTAAAAAAAAATTCAACTAAATTTATCATGGTCTTTGTGGACATAACAAGACAGTTTAAGCTCATATAATTGAAAAGGAGACTCTTCTTCTTCTTCTTCTAAACACGAGAAAGAGAACCAACTAAAGGACTAATTCACCCTCAAATTAAAATATAGTCATTGTCAACCCACCTCAGCTGAAACTCCTATTACATTTGTACTAAAACTAAGAACACAGGGTGACCTCAAACGCCTCAAACATGCTGACAATGCTTTTTTTATAGCTACAAAACATACACATAAAATATCCACCAGATTATTTATAAAAAAGGCTCAGCCTGATTGGTATCATAGATTATTTTACTAACGACAACCAAGCAGGTGAGAGAAATTGAATGTCTTCATTACTTGGATTTGTAAAAGATTCATAAAAACAAAGGTTTTCAGAGTGAGTTCACAGATTTTGTACAAACCGTTGTTGGGATTTCTGACTGTTTCTGTGAGTTGTTGTACTGTAACATGGAGAAATTACATATTTAATTTAAGAGAGGGGTAAAGTGACCACACACCACACTTACAGGTTTTAAACACAATTGACACAAGTGTGTTTTCTTCTGCTGTGTCAGGAGGACATCAGACTGGCCTTCCTCAACATCTCCAGGATCATGGACTGTGTGGGCTGCTTCAAATGTCGACTGTGGGGGAAACTGCAGGCGAGAACATTTTCACAACAGTTATATTAATGGTGTTCAGTATGGGAAATAGTGTGTAAATATTAAAGGATGCAGTGAAACCTGCATATATAGATATTACAACTGCATTGTGATGTGCTGCTTTGTCTTTCTCCGTCTCTCTCTCTCCATCAGACTCAGGGATTAGGAACGTCATTAAAGATTTTGTTTTCAGAGCGACAGATTGAAGCTCTGCCCGCGTCCAGCAACCAGCGACCCAGTTTCCAGCTCAGCCGCCAGGAGATCGTCTCCCTGCTCAACGCCTTCGGAAGGTGAGAGAGAGTCTGTCGGCATCACATGATCATTTATAACATCTGTAAAATAACAGGGCACCAACTCTGCTCTGACTTCTCGGTACAACAGACAACAAAAGGGTTGCATTTGTTGCGCGGGCAGTAGATTATATCCACTCTGGAGCACTTTAACTACGTGAGAATGTGTGTTCAGTGGTGGAACAAGTACCCAGATCTTCTTATTGAAGGTTATATATATGAAATTCGCTTTTTTCAGACCAAAACAATGTGACAGAAATAAAATAAAAAAGATCAAGGCCTTCTTGATTTTAAGGGGCGTAAGAAAACATACGAAATATACACTATAGGCCTATATCTCAGCATTTTGTCTAATTCTGTAAAGAAAACTAAATTAATTTGTTTGCTTAGGTAGAATGTATGATGGTTAAAAAAGTAAAAATACACAAAACAGACATATAGTTGTATAAAAAGTTCCTAAAAGCATCCGAAAACTCCCCTCTGATGTAATTTTTACAGGAAATAATCTGCTCAAAGTTCATCCAAACCTCTCACGTGTTCACTGTTTGGGTTCATTGCACAGTTTGTTAGTATCTGTCCTGTAAAAATCCATAAAATGATTTGTCAGTTTCCTCAATGATATAAAAGGGCTCCCTTAAGATAAAAGGTTGTGCTTCAGGCTCTAAAAATCAGGACTTACAAAGAGAGAACAATTAAAAAATACTTAAATAAATAACCACTTGAATAAATAAGATAAAAATGCAGGTAAAAAAGATAAACTCTGTTACTACAACTAGTTAATCTGAGTGATAGCTCCCAGAATAAAGCTTTGTTCTACATCTTGGGACTATAAACCTCCGTCCAGTGTCATCATTAAAACAAATTTTTACACACACACAAAAAAATAAGCCAAAGCTCGCCTAAATACTACAGGATATAAAATGAAAACCAAATATTTTTACATTTCTGTTCCTTTTTTCTCTGTGTAACACTCCACTTCTCCTCCTGAAAATGTCCCACAGGATTTCCACGAGCATCAGAGAGCTGAAGAACTTCAGAGCGCTGCTGGCGGAGGAGCGGTGACGCCACTGAGACACGTTGTCCAGTCGACTCTTCTGCCTTAAGTCCTGCTGAAATATCACATCACAGACAAACATCAGAGAGTTTAAATCCTTTGTCTAGAATTAAAATGAAACTTTGTTTTGACAAGACAATGTGCCTTCTATTACTGATGTGGCTTAAAGTAATTTGTTGAGTGAAACTGTAAAAACGTCAGCTGTAAGGAGAGACTGAGGAGTGTAACCTGCTTTAATGTCATGTATTTAGAAGAATTTAGAGAAGGATCAAGAATTCAAACATGCCACTTCATATGCAAACTGTCTGCTGCTTTGCGTAATCAAACATATTTCAGTATAGTGACCAGTTGTAAAGTGTTTTTGTAATTGCGTGCCTGCGTCCTGAGGATGGCGCTGTTTGTAAAGGAAGCTGATTTATACTGCTAAATGCAAAAATGTTCTAGCTTTTAAAAATCCTTATTTTATGTAAACAGGAATAAAAATCTGCAGGTTGTTAAGGTAAAAGTGTATTGGAATTAAATTAATATATTTTTAGATATATATTGTTTTTAATATTTTCTTTATCGCTATCATAGGCTTTCATAAGACCATGACCTATTGCTTAACCTGTGTGTGTGTGTGTGTGTGTGTGTGTGTGTATTCATTAACCCACTCTATCAGTGGGTCTGGGTTAATGATGCCTTCGGGTACACTTGGAGAACTCAAAACGTCCATGTTCAGGCTGTTTGTTGTTACAAATAATGCTTATAATGGAACTTGTTTGTGGTAAATTTTAGGAATCCGTCAGCAACGATCACAAAACATTAATAAAAGTGTTTCGACACAGATATACCACCGATGTGCGTTTAATTTCTTAGTGACTTTGCTGTTAACTGTAGATACCTACATACATTTCAAATGTCTGTAGAGTATATGAGGAAAGGGCATGAGGGGAAAAATGTGAAATACATAATATAAATGTGTTTTAGACTGTAAAATAGGAAATGAATGCATAAGAATAATTTAATTGTAAGATGACTTTGTTTTTAAATATTCTTTTTTTGCTGTTTGATTTGGAGGCAAAGGAAGAACATGAAATTCAATTATTTTTAAATTTACTCACATCTTACTAGCATAAGATTAATTGTATTAATTGTATTGCTGGAGGGAAGGGATATGCTTTATATATATAGTTGTTTATCTTACAAGTGTATGATAAATAAGCTTGCATAATAAATACACTTAAATATCAACTCAATAGTAATGTTAACTATAGTATTTTTTGGTTATGGGGTAAAGAAAGATTATACAACTTTGTGTTTGTATGTGTCTTTCTTGTCTTATCTTAAAACAATAAAATTAAAAATAATAATAATAATATGAACTTTTTTATTTTACTATTAAGAGGGATTAAAGGGAGATTGACATGTATGTATACAAACTATATACAGAAGTTATATTATAAGATAAGATAAAATATACCTTTATTAATCCCACATAGGAGAAATTCAAGTTACACACAGCAAATATATTATAATATATAATATTGGGGAATATAGTGCAGAAAAATACAATCTTATCACAATTAAGAATATTACAAAATATAATAGAAAACTAACTATATGCAATGTGCAAGTACAATAACGTGCAATTTAAAAATATTTTAAGCAGCTTGACTAAAAAACTAAAAAACTAAANNNNATATTATATTATATTATATGTATTGAGCTGACTCATCACACAGTGTTTGTGTGTGTGGATGTTTTTGCAGAGCTGCAGTGGCGGTTTTTCCGACAGTCCTCTAACGCAGCATAAAGCCGTGCAGTGGGCAGTGAAGGGTTAAACTGTGTAATAGGATGAATGGATATTGTGGTGAGCAGCATCTGATTACACAGAGACGCCAGTTGAGGTCAATCGAAGGAGGGGAGACACTTCTTATCTAACAGCTAGAACAACTCAACCTCCTCCCCAGTCTGAGGAAACAATTCACTCTTCATCACACTGATCAGGAAATACAACTTTTACTCTTTTAAACCCGAGGAGAGCAGGAACAACGCCGAGCAGAGAGGAGGAGGAGGAGAGGAGGGCTTCGGCGGGTAACCATGGCTGAGGGGCGACCGACGGGTGACTGCGGAGGAAACCTGCAAGATGTCAAATTTGCGGAGCTTAAAGAGGAGGACTTGTATTTTTCTAAAGAAGCGGTTGCATCCTGTCTGCGCGGACAGAGAGAGAGAAAGAGAGAGAGAAGAGAGAGAGAAGAAGAAAGAGAGAGACAGTCGGTCAGAGCTCCAGGGACATCTGTGTTCAGGGGTTTGTTCCTCCAGGTCGGAGAGAAACAGGTAAGAGAGCTCACCTGTGTGCAGCCAGCACATGTTCATATGTCGAAAACTGTTCTATGTTGCTCACAGGATTTATTAATGTGTGCTTTTTCTGTTCATTTAATGCCACCAAACTCTCTTAAACTCAGTTTTTTATATATTATATATCAACTATAGTAACATTTAGGATAATATTGATAAGTTTATATCTAATAAGGTAATACTTAGTTAGATTACCATTAACCTGCTCTGGAAATCTTCTTTCTTTATTAGGATCTATTGGCAGAAATTGAATATAATAATAAATAGGTATGTTTTTAATAGTGCATAATCCCATTTATATATGAATTGTTGTGTTTTCGTTTCCTTAAAATAAGCTTTTTATCTACAAACGCAGCGGGTCGCCTTGTATGGAGTCCACCATGTTTCTACAGTAGCCCAGAATGGACAAACCAGACAGTGGCTGTAAGATAGGGGCTTTGGGGTTTTTTTGCGAGTTTTAAGGCCACCGTAGTTTCTAGTATTGAATACAAAACTTCACAGGGACCACTTTCCTTTTACCAAACAGTTTTAGCTCACACTTAAAGCTGCGATAAGTGATTTTTGACCAGTAGGGGGCAGAAACTCCAAATCAAACAGCCCTTAGCCATCAAGTTGTTATGGCTAACGCATCCTTATCATCCCCTTAACATTTTCACTTTGTCCATAACCTTTTTCAGGTTTGTCCCTTCTGGGCTACTGTAGAAGACATAAACTAAACATTCCACACTGGATGTTTTTAAGTATACAACATTTATAGTAGTCGGTCTCCTTTTGTCCAGCAGACACAGAACAACATTATCATCCCATTATAGTTGTGTTTGTGTCCGATATTCATCTTCCTTTTAGCTCTATTTTGGTCTCCACCAGCTGAGAAAATATGTCTCTTTAGCAGCTACATGTTTTCTCCACCAGTGAGTCACTAAATTTGTCAGTGTTGATAGCATACAGTTGACTTCTGTGTTTATTTGCATCCACACAACACACAGATCGACTGTATGAAAATAGAATTTGAATAGTCTGAGTAAAATAACAGGTTACGACAAAACAAAGGAATTATACAACAACAACAACAACAACAACAGAGGCTCCCTTTGTGGGAAATGCACATCAAATTCCCGGAGCAGAATAAGTTAAAAGAACAGTCATCTGTGAAAGTTGTGTAAAACGTAGCTCAACGCTGAGGATTGTTCCTGTTTTGGAAGCTGTGAATGATGCTGAATGTGTAGATACAATAGTTAAAAACATAAGGAAGTGGGGTTTTTAAATATAAAAATAAAAAAGTAATCTTTCTCTATCACATGGTGTTACATGGTTCAACAGTATTGTATAAAAAAGTGCTGTATAATGGAAGTTTATGCTTTTAAGTCACCAAAAAGGATTTGCCACTTTTCCTCATAAAAGTCGGAGTCCTTCTGATGTGTCCTAGGGTCATGTTTTTGGTTTTGCATAATTATGGTAACATAATGTCATTTCCAGAAAGCATTTGTAGGTTTTGAAGCCGTAACATTTCCCATGACTCTTTGGCAAAGCAGACATTTTACAGACCTCAAACCATGAGAACGAGTTAGCTTTGTGAATCTGCCACCTCGTGATGGCGAGGGACAATTAGTTTTCAAGCTCTCTGTGAGCGTTGAGTGGACATTAAAGTCAAATCCTACCAGTGCAGTGGTTTGTTGGCTGAAAGGAATCCATGTGTGGGAGTTTAGGAGTCCCTGACAAGCAGCAGTGTTATAGTTGGATCAATGGAGGAGGGGCGGGGCAGGCAGGTAGAAACGTTACCCCCCCCACCGCTTTAGGCTTCAAATCCTGCCAAGCAAGTGGAATTTCATGGAAACATGAAATATGTCAACGCCGAACGTTAACTCCCTCCCGGTCTGTCAGCTCTCCTCTGGTTGGCTCGCTTATCTGCTCGTGCTTTTTTTAAAATTAAACTCAAGAAAGTGACAGCAGGGGTCAAAAACAGGAGAGTGCAGGTCATCCCGGGACACAAGGATTGTTCTATAACAGAACTTATTTGTGCCGGGGCCAGGTGGCATCTCACCTCACCTTTTCTGTCTTATTTTATTATTTTTATCTTCAAACACAGCTCATAGGAGTAGTCACCTTTTTAACAAACTAAGCTGCATGTGAGTTCCCCATCAGAATTTTGTTTTATGATAATCTGTTGGCCAACATTAGAATTCATTATTTCCCATTAGACTGTAAAAGTTAATTTATAAAAAACATCATACTCAAAGTATAAAGAACTAGAATGAAAACAATAAGAAATCTAACCTGCAACGTAATTCACTTTAAATTTACATTCAGAGGAATGATATGAAGTGACTTATAAGTGGCTTATTTTTTACATGTTTAAACAGGGCTGCGCCTCACGATTATTTTCATTACCAACAAACCTGCTGATTATGTTCTTGATTAATAGATTGCTCTATAAAACATCAGAAAATCATGGAGTCAAATGTGAACAGCAGGGGAAGCAGGTTCTGGGTTAATCTTTGCCAGCGTTGCCTGCGACGTGCAGCACGTTGTGCCAAGCCGGGCCCAGCCAGCGTCCCGCCTGCAGGAGCTGCAGAGCTCGGCTGCAGAGCTGGGGGAGCTGGCACGGAGGCGGTTCTGGCCCAACGTGGCTCCAGTGATGTGGTTATGGTTAGAGATGAGCTGGGAGAGCAGCTGTGTGTGTGGGAACAAGGCTGAGTTGTCCTTTTCTTTCAGTCTCTGCACTGCTGCAGTCCGCCTCTCTGTGATCTGCTTTCGTTTTGTCTTCTGTCCTCGCCTCGCCTCGCCTCCACCAGAGACCTGTCAGTTAGACACAGAGCCCGTCAGCACGTTACGGGGGGGGTGGATCAGCACATGAGTGGGAGTGTGAAATGTTGATTTAACCGCTGAAGACCTGCAATTACATGTGATTCACAGCTTAGAGATCCTGACGAGATCAAATGTCGCTACATTGTTTGATGAAAATGACAAATGTTTTCAATAACGTGATACTTCAGGGACAATTATGTGCTTTCACGGGATGAGAAATGATCTTTAATTACAGGGTGTCTGCAGGTTGCTTGTGTAGGATTTAGTGGCATCTAACAGTGTAGCTGCATATTGAAACTCCCTCGCTTCACCCTCCAGAGGTTTGTCCGTTCTGGGCTACTGTAGAAACATGGCGGTTCAACATGACGGCCTCCATGGAAGGCGACCTGCGGTGTCTGTAGATAAAAAAACGTCTCACTCTAAGGTGTCAGGTGATTAAACACTAATGAAAGGTAATGGGGGAAATAATTGCCCCAGTGTAGGATCAATAAAGTCTCTCTAATCTTATTATAATTCTACCAATAGATCCTCGTAAATGTTACATAGTGGATCTTTTAAAAGTCTAATATCCAATAATCTGAATTTTAGGCCTTTTAAATGTCTTAAAAATGTATTGAATTAATTAAGTTTTTCAGTCCTGCTTTAAAATGTGTTTGTTTTGTAGTATTGATGTAAAAGGGTCTTTAAAAAGTCTTAAATTTCACCTGTTAAACCCTGTCATTATAGGATATAATGACCAAGGAGATAAAGGCGTTCAAAAATCACTTTTATGTATCAAAGATCATGAAATTCCAGCTGTATCAGGATACTGCGAAAACCAATATCTCAGACGAAAACTGATATTTGACCAGGTAGCGTTTCTAGTTGGCAGCCTAGAAGTCGGGACCAATATTTTCAATCTTAATCATGACTTGATTCTGTAACTGCTTCCCAAAGTTCATTAAATAAACAAGAAATATACAAATTAAACAGTTTTTATTTAGGAGTTGGGAATGAACAAAAAGTTGGATTCAAATAGGACGAGCCGCTTTATTTTTAGCAGGTTTACGTAGTGATATAATGAATCACCATCATTTACCAACAATGCCTCCCGCTGTAGGGACTGAACATGAATGCTACATGAAGTGAGTGGATGTTCTGCTTTTGGTTTTCTTGGAACAGGCCTGTCTTTGTACCACGCTGCATCCGCCCTCTCACTGTTCTCTAATATCTAACCTCATGTCATGAAGCAGCTTGTATGTGGTTATGCATTATTTGATGCCGTGTTGAAACTAACCAATTGCATTCATTGTTTGTGTTCTGAGGAAAGAGGGTGAAGCTCTTGGTGAGTGAAACTTAGAACAGTTATCCAGCCGTCATAATGGGAGGAGGTACTCGGGAAAAGGAGTCTTGCTTTACCAGGAGGATGAATTATTAATGTGATACTCAGCTATTCAG